TAGTCACACTTATTTTAAAAAAGGAAAGAAAAGACCAATTTCACAATTTGGAATAAAAATGGTGAAAGTACGATGGAACCAGCCGAAAGCCACAGGATCCTCAATACCTACTTCAAGAATCTTTATGCCAAAAAGGTGGAAAATACAGGAGAAATGGACAGATTCCTAGAGTCATATGAATTACCAAAGTTGAATGAAGATGACCTAAAAATTCTAAATAACCCTATATCAATAAAAGAAATGGGAAATATAATTAAAAACTTACCAGCCAAGGAAAGCCTGGGCCCTGAAGGCTTCACTGCTGAAATCTATACAATGTTTAGAAGAGAACTACAGATACTCCTGTTTAAACTCTTCATTGAAATTGAAAGAGAAGTAATACTCCCTAATTCATTCCCAGAAGCAAGCATCACCGTGATTCCCAATGCAGAGAAAGACCCAACTGAAAAAGATAACTATAAGCCTATCTCACTAATGAACATATATGCAAAAATCCTTAATAAGGTACTGGCAAATAGAACACACAAGATCATCAAGAAGATCATACACTCTGACCAAGTGGGATTCATCTCAGGGAAGCAGGGATGTTTCAACATATGCAAATCAATAAACACAATACACTATGTATTAATAGAATCAAGGATATAAAATATATGATCATCTCATTAGATGCAGAAAAAAGCATTTGACAAAATCCAACACGCATTTATGATAAAACCTACAGAAAATTGGAGTAGACAGTCTCTAACTCAATCTGATAAAAGCCATCTATGAAAAACCAACAGCCAATATCATACTAACTGGTCAAACACTTAAATCATTCATGCTAAAATCAGTAACAAGATAAGGATGTCCCCTATCACACTTCCTTTTAATATAGTTTTGGAAACATTATCCACAACAAGTAAACAAGAGAAAGAAACAAAAGGAATAAAGATAGGAAATGAAGAAAACAAATTGTCATTATTTTCAGATGACATGATACTATATAGCAGACCCCAAGAATGCCACCAAAAGTCTTATTGATTTAATAACCAAATTTAGTAAAGTGGCTGGATACAAGGTCAACACACAAAATCAGTAGCTTTTCTGTACATGAAAAACAGACTCTCTGAGAGCGAAATGGGGCAATTAATTTCTTTCACAATAGCATCCAAAAAATGATATATCTAAAAATCAACCTAACAAAGAAATCAAAGTCCTCTACCTTGAAAACTATTGCACTCTGAAAAAATAGATTGATGGTATCAGAAAACAGAAAGACATCCCTTGCTCCTGGGTAGGAAAAATTAACATAGTGAAAATGGCTATACTTCCAAAAATATATAGATTGAATGCCATCCCAATTGAAAAAACAGCTACATACTTCACAGACCTTGATAAAACAATTGAAAAAAATCATTTGGAACAAGAAGTGACCTAGAAAACAGATGCAATTTTTGGCAATAAAGACAAGGTATGACATATCACAATCCCAACTTGAAACTATGTTACAAAACCACTGTGATAAAAACAGTATGGTATTGGCAAAGAAACAGATCTGAGGATCATTGGAATAGATTAGAAGATGCAGAAACAACTCCAGACATATTCAGTTACCTCCTTTTGAGAAAGGAGCCAAACACCCTAACTGGAGAAAAGATAGCCTCTTTAATAAATAGTGCTGGAAAAACGGAGTATCAACTTGCCGAAGATTAAAACTAGACCCATACTTCTCAACATGCACTAAACTAAAATAAAAATGGATTAGTGATTGTATCAGTAAAAATTTCATGCATTAAATATACTTTTACAAATCCAATATAATGACTGCATAGGATTTCTTCCACAAATAGCTTATCTACCATTTAATATCTAAGCAGGCATCAGTTTCTCATCTTTCAAGTGCACATAATTGCCTGTATCTTAGAATAGTAAAGACAAGTTAGGCATGATATGTAGAGTTAAAAATCTTTAAATCATAAAAATTAGCTGTTTTTATTGTTTAATAATTGTCATGTTTAAATGATTTAATTTTGTTATAATCCATGTATATCTTTATGAATTAGGGATATTCAGATACGTTGTACTTTTTAAAAGTACACATTATACATATTATGATTTAGAATGTACAAATGACTTTTCAATTGCAGTTAAATGTAAGTATTTTAATGAAAATTTTTCCTGTTTTTCCTCCAAGCAAATTAAATTCCCCAGAAGCTTTCTAATTTTTCTCTACTATTTTAATGTCTCAGTTCAACAATATTTCAAACAAAACTTTAGCACACACTTTAAATTACATGATTACAATATGGCCCCAGTCTTAGTTCTACTCTTTATAGAATTAATAGCATATTTTTGTTCTGAACCATCTTTCAAGAAATTTGAATGTGAATTCTTAATGTAAATAATTTAAAGTTTATATTTATGGCTGAAGGAGAATTATTTTAGTTTGTGATGTGAAATGTAAACTGTGTGAGAAGTATCATTAGTGAGCAGATCTGCAGTATTACTCAGTTTTAAATTTTAAGAAATAAAATATTTGCCCAGTTTTTCATTGGATACAATTTATAAGGCATGTAAATATGCATTTTAATTTTAAATTTATTGATAAATATTGTTTAAATATGAACTCACATTTTTAACTAGTCTGTCACATTTTCATATAATGTCCAGGTAGAGGTTGGAATTATTACCATGCACTACCAGTCCAAGATCAAGATAATGAGAGCAAAGAATCTGGGAAATATCTCTTAGACTGTGATCTTTTGACATTTTAGAATCTAAAACATCTAAATTATTCTCTATTTTTCTTGAGCAATAGACTCTACAGCAAATTTTTCAAGTATTTTTCAGCTGCACTTGGTAACATCTACAGATGTGCTTCTGTGGATAAAGAGCTGACTAATGGAATAGGTTGTTTAATACATGAATATTATTATTTTACATCAGGAATGGGATAGGCTTAAAATTTTACACTGAACTGTGGAAAACTGTATTTAAAGACCTAAAATTGTGTTCAAGAACCCAAGGATATCAAATAGTAAGAGAACTTTCAGCAACTACTCTTTTAATAAAAAGAAATAATAGGAGATGAGTAGTATGTATGTCATATTAATCATGGCATGAAGTCACATACAAAGTCTCAATTCTTCTCACTTTCAATTTCTTCTTTGGCTCATTATTTCTTTTTTAGTCAGACTTCTTACTTTTACCAATGGAATCACATCCACAATAGTCTAGAGTGAATCAAATTTATTATTATTATTATTATTATTATTATTATTATTATTATATTATTTCATTGGATAGCATAATTGTCATTCTCTATGCTAGACTATGTTCAGGAACAGAAAAACAGAGATTAGATCCACCCACTCTGTATTTTTATTATTTTGGATTTGTATTGACTTCTTTCTAACATATGATCTCTCTCTGTAGTGGAAAATAAGAACTCCAAGTTCTTATTTGATAATATATATTCAGGATATATATTATCAGCATTTAAACCCTCAGCCAAAAATGACTGTCTTTCTTCACAGTTACAGGATGATTTACAAAGAACTCTAACTTTCTTTACTCAAATATAATGTTCTACTCTATATAGGAAGAGACAATTTTATCTAGTGGACTCTCATGGACTAACAGTTAATAACAAGTGCACCACCAAAGTAAATTTAGACTGTGCAGTAGAAGGAATCTTTACGTCACCTAATAAGTTATATGTTCAAAGCCTAACCTCTAGTGTAATAGTAACAAAGGGCTGAACCCTTCAGAAGGTGACAAGTGCCCTCTTAAGAGATTCTAAGGAGGATTTTCCCCCCAGTACTATGTGAAAATATAGCAAAAATATAGTATTCTAAAAACCGTGGAATGAGTCCTTATGAAATACCAAATCAACCAGCTTCTTGATCTTGGACTTCTCAGCCTTCAGAACAATGAAGAATATCTTTATATTATTGTAAGCCACACAGGCTTCAATGCTTCTCAGTAGTAGCATTAGGTAAGAGAAAGAGCTTCCACTTAAAGAAACATTTTAAAATATCATATTATAGTGATATATGCATACTCATGTTAAATGCAACACAACTTATAATAGCTAACTCTTGGAAGTGGTGTACATGTTTATCAGATGAATCGATAAATAAGATATTACACACACACACACACACACACATATGAAATGGAGTACCATACAGCAATAAAAAAGGATAAATTTGAATTATTTCTAGGAAAATGGATGTACCTTGAGATTATACTGCTGTGAAATAAATTAGAGTGTTATATATTATATCTTTATTTGGAGAACCCTAAGCATAAATAATTTAAGGAGGAAAATAAAGGAGAGATGATAGAGAGAAGGGGGATAGATTTTTGTGAAAATGAGAAAGGAATCTATGAAGGAAGACTAGTAGGAAAAGTGGGGGAGAAAAATGTTATAATGCTATATGTATATGTAGTAATTTATCACGATGAGTGTATTTATTAGGTATTGTTAACACATGATATCAAGAAAGAAGGATAATACAAGAAAAGTCACCTGAAAAAGAGATACCAATTAAAATATCATTCTGTAATTTCCCTTTTATTCATTTTTCTATTGATGAGACAACTATTACTACAAACCTGTGACTGTAAATATTACCTTTTCAAACTTTTTTTATTTATTGTAAACCTGGTAGCATCTTGAAATGAGAAGTCTCAGTGCTGCTTAGCTGGTGTTATGCTCATATTCTCACAAATATTGAATCAAATATTCAAATTTAATATTCATAGGCTTATTCCAAGCTCAAAAATTATTGATGGAATGTATTTCCTTGTCAGTGTAGGGCTGACAGGATCCCTTAGATTTCAGAGGTATCCTGTTGTGTTCTGCCAAATGACGTGGCAATTTGCTTTTCAAATGCCAAAAGAATGTGCCACTGTAACTTCTCTTTTTCTGCACTTGAGGTCTGCTTTTAGTCTGTTAAATCACTTAGGTCAGGCTCAGTCATCAAATTCACCTTTTGATTAACTTACAGGCAGCTGATCAGAAACTTTACATCTGCACGTGTCCTTCACTTGCCATGTAGCAGCATAATCACAAAGCATGAACATCAACAACATTTTGAAATATTGCTTACCACATCTAAATCCAACATCATTTTTAGAAAACGTCAATGAGCAGCTATTGGGTAAAGATAAACTCATATGTAATTAAATAAAAAGAAGTAAAACTACAAATTTGTAGCTTTCTCATATGTCTTTGTCATCTTTCACTTTCTTCAGCATAATTTTGTTTGTTAATAACTTAGTTTCACTTTGTTATTATTGCCTTGATTTTTCTTTCCAGCTCATAGTTCACCACGTTAGCTTATTTATTACAGATCCACCAAAAACTCCAAATGTAAAATATTGTTTTTATCCATTATGTATACCTTCAAAGAAAATATTTTTCAATATAAAACAGTTAAAATTTCATGGAAATGTGCATACACACATAAAAAATCTCAGCCAAATTCTAAAAATGTGTGTTGGCATCCTATGAGACTCATTGCAGCCAAACACTTAAATTCTTTTGCAAAAAATATAGACTATAAAGTGGGAAAGCTGATAAAAAATAATCATTCCAATGCTCTGAAAATTTATCAAATATCAGCATTATAAAAAAATGTTTATTCTGGAAAAATTCCTGAAATTCTAGTAAAAACAGTACAAATCTGTGGTGATCCACCCTGCACAAATGACTCATACTGTAGAGCTCAAGAAACTCAGGGCTTCTGTCTGGGCAGGACAATAAAACTAACTGCATTTGAAACAAAATCAAAAGAGGTTTATTTGTCTTGGAACAGTGAGCAATGCCCACTGAATCATTGTTGATGGAAGTAACAATTTCAGAGATGGATGAATGAAGAGGACCAGTGACTGTGCTTGTCTGAGGCTACAGTTGTAGTGGTGACAAAGTTATCTACAGTAGAATAGGACGAAGAGCAAGAAAACAAGACTAAATTAAAGACAAGGTGTATACTTTGGGTTGAGGCTAAGCATTCATATATGCATGCCCTGGAAGTAAAAAATAATGTTCAGTAGAAAACAGAAGATGACATAGACTTGTAAATAACTAGAATTTAATATTTTTTCTCCTTCCCATGAATAGATCAGCACAAATCAGATTCATTACCAATTGCCTCTGACCCACATGATAAGAGAGGTAATCCCTAACGATAAACATTTACTACCTAGAAGCCAGAACTAAAATAAATAGAAAAATATAAGCATCATTATTGTTATTCATAGTGGCCACATTCTATAGGAGAATGAAATTTTCAAGTTTACTAATGTGAATTACTTAGTAAAGAAATAAAAACATCACAATGGCGAACTTTAAGAGAAAAAAATCGAAATGTACAACAAAAACATTTTCTAAAATGTCCAATTTTAATAAAACTTTGATATGTGAAATGTGTATCAGTGTCCTGAAAGGACAACAAAGTCTATAAAACATGAAAAGGATGTCCACTCTAACCATTTCTGTCCAACATAGGACTTGAAACAGAGCAATCGTGGAGAAGAAGGGATGCAAACAAATATGCACAGAAAATGAGGAACTCAAGCCATCCTTATTTATGGAGCAAATGATCATTTACATGAAAGATACAAGCATTTCCACCAAATAATTGCTAGAAAAAATAAAGGCATATTCAACAATGTAGTGGATATAAAATAAACACACAAAAGTATCACGATCTCTAATTCCAAGAAATACTACAAAACCACCATGATAAAAAACAGCATCATACTGGCCCCAAAACAGACAAATGGAACAGTGGAACAGAATGGAGGATGTCGAAACTGCTACAGGAAAATAGAGCCATCTGACCTTTGACAAAGAGGCCATAACATACCACAGAAGAAGAAAAATAATCTCTTAAATTGTGCCAGAAAAACTGGCTGTACACATGTAGAAGAATGTACCGAACTAAAATCAAAGTGGATCAAAGCTATAAATATCAAAACAGAAACAGCTAAGAAGCTGTAAAGTAAAACTTTGATGACATATGGATAGGCAAGACTTTTGAATAGAACTCCCACTGCCCATGAAAGAACATCAAGAATCAACAAAATATGATTTAATCAAATTAAAATCTTCTGCACTGTAAAGGAATTGACAGTGTGTTAGCTTGCACAATAGAAAAAAAAATTCCCACAACTCAGAGGACTAATGTATGTAATGTATAAAGAAGTGTAAATTTATATTCCCTAAAATCGAAGACCCAATACCTTCTCAAAAGATAAATTACAAATGGTCAATAAATGCATGAAAAAATGTTTATAAACCTTGGTCATTAGAGAAATTCAAATCAAAACAACACTGAAGTTCCATGTGACTTCAGAAAAAAAAATTGCTACTACCAAGAATTTAAAACACAGACAAATAGAAGTGCTAGCAAGATTGTGGGGGGAAAAAAAAAACCTTCTACATTGATGGTGAGAATGTAAACTATTACTGTATTAAAGTCAGTATGTGTGTTCCTCAAAATGTTAAAAGCAGAAATCCCACTTAAAATAGTCATACATCTTCTGGGTGTCTTCTCAGGAGAGTTAAAAACATGATACTGCATTGACACATGCATACCCAAGTTTAGCAAACCCACTTATAGCAGCTAAATATTGAAAGCAGCCTATATGTCAATCAGAAGATAAATGGATAAAATGGTGGTAATTATACACAATATAATATTACTTTGCTATAAAAAGATAATTTTTATTTATTTGTCAAGTAAGTGTTCATTTTGAAACCATCTTGTTAAGTGAAATGAAGCAGACACAAGTTTAAACATCACATTGTATCTTAGTTACTTCTCTCCTTGCTAAGACAAAATGCCAGATGCCCACAGTTAAAGGGGAAAGGTTTATTTAGCTCAGTTTGTAGAGGTTTCAGTCTGTAATCAGCTGGCATCAAGGCAGGGTGGCACAGCACACAGGCATTGCAAAGGAGAAACAGTTCATGGTGGGCATCAGGAAGCAAAGCAAGCAAGAGACCAGACAAGGCTCTTTCTGTCCGTTATACAGGTCACCAGCTTGAGGGTTGTGTCAAACCAATCAGTAGACTGATTCAGTAATCACCTGTTGCACAATGAATCCATCACTCTAGATTCAGCCATTTCTGAAATAGCTCCACATATGACCACACTAGCATTTGGGGGAACGTCTAGATGCACACCATTGCACTTGGTTTCTTTTATGTGACAAAAATCAAAGCGTAAACAAGACAAAGCAAAAGAATAGACAGATGATAGAGAACATACACATTGTTAGCAAATAGGAATGGGAACAAAAGATGAAGGAAAGGGGGAAAAGATGAGGGAAAGCAAATATAGAGAATTAAAGTGTGTTATATATGTATACCAACTCCAGTGGATGTGTATAATCACAATGTACTGCAAATATATAGTAATAAAAATTTAACTAAAATGCAGAGTTTATATTCAAGCTTGCTTCAGTTACTCTCTGTTGTTGTGACAGATATCTGACTCACACAATTTATTTTTGCTCAAAGGTTTCACGTCTTAATCCATGCGTGGAGAGTTGGTTCAGAAGGCAAACGAAAAATGGTGGGAAAGTAGAGTGGAAGAAAGGTTCTCAGTGAATCACAGTGATGAAGCAAGAGTAATAAAGGAGGAGTCAGGGCAAAGAGTATACTCTTCTGGGTCAGGGTCCTAGGGACCCAAGTCCATCCATAACCAGATTCCTAGCACCATATTGAGCTATGAACGTATGAATAGATCACTCTCACTGATGAGTATAGCACCCCATGGTCCGATCACCCTCCACGAGCTCCACCTCTGAATACATAGGTCTTTCAGATATAACATGCCATAGAGATCTTAGTGTGCATTAGAATTCACTGCTTACGTGTATAGGTCTATACATTTTGATAAATATACAGTGTAAATTCTCCTTTATGACAGTGTGGTTCAGGATCGTTATGGTACCATAAAAAACAGTGTACTTCACAAATTCACCCCTCCTTGCTTCTTCATGAATTTATGACAACAATGAATCTTTTTATTACTTCTGTAGTCTCACATTTTCAATAATGTTACTCAGTTGGAATCCTGCAGAATGTACTCTTTCCAGACTATCTTCTTTCCTTTAGAAGTGTGTGTTTTACTTTTCTGTGTCTTGGGTCATGGATTGATAACTCTTTATTTTCTAGCGCTTAACAATATTCGGTTGCACAGATATACTACAGTTTGTCCATCTTTTTATGTATTTGAGAATATCTGTTACCTGCAATTTCAAATTGTCATGAATAATGTTGCTTTAAGTATTATGTTCAAATTTTTCTATTGACATCTTTTCAACCTATTTGGATAAATATCTAGGTATTCAAGTGCTGGATCATAAGCTAAAAGCATATGTAACTTTGAGAGAAATTGTCAATGTCTTTCAAATTGCAATGTCACTTTGCAAAACTACTACACTATTTTATGGAACCCTTGTCGCTTTGCATTCTCACCAGCACTAGTGTTGTCAGTATTTTACATTTTAGCCATTCTAGTATGTGTATTAGAAATATCATGGTTTTAATTTTCAATTTCTATAATGACTAATTCATCTCAATTTCTAATCTGCCAAAAACTGCTCTATGCTACAAAAATACTATAAAGTTCTTAAAATGGTATATTTGAGTGACTACACATTTTTTCACTATTGTAAGTAATATACGAAGTATATTTTTCATGTATGCTTCAAACATACATGAGGAATTTTGTAGAGAAAATTATTTTTTTAATTGAGTTTATTGGTACATTTTAGGTATACAGTACAGTTACATTCATTATTAGGATCTTATACCTTTACATGACAGGTTTTGGTTCTCACTTTTTCCCCTTGTCCCTGCCCTCCCTTCACCCACTCCTCCCCTCCTGTAGAGAAAATTCTTAGAACTCAACTTGAACTGATCAAGCTGAAAGTTGAACTTGTGATAAATATTAATAAATTAATATTCAAAAACTCTGCAAAAATACTTCCTTAATTTTGTTTATTGTGGCCAAGAGAAATTATCAGATGATGTTTAATGGTGGCATCACAATTCTAATTTTTGTAAGAGTGTCCGTATAAAATTATCCAAGAAAGGAATTAAAG